TGTCGTGCGCCCAACATACTCCACCGAACCGTATTTCATCCGCCATTCAGTTATTTGTTTTTAACTATTAATGATGGATGATGCAAGATAGAAATTCAGTAATAAAAGTTAATTTATTCTGTCCATTGGAAAGTGCACTTCTCTCAGATGATATCAACACGAAGCGTTGGTACGAGCGAATATATATGCATATATATATACGAACTATCCTCTGAATATAATGAATACTGATTGACTTTTTGAAGGAAGCAGCTCCATTCGCACCTACCTTATAGTGAAATTTGCAGGTTCTACATGTAAAGCGGAGCCTGTTGGTCGTAATGCATAAACCTAACAAAAAAATGGACAATAGTGCTACCAGTGTTTGAGGAGTTAGTGCAAACGTTGTGTTTTCAGGGAAGTTTGGGGACGATCTACACGAATTAGTCAAAATTCGGGGGTTGGTCCACACTCATACGAAGAACATCACAAAATAACATCACTAATTCATAGTGTACGTTCGTACTTGCAGAAATTTCTAACCTACTAACGGGTTTGCCTGTGACCTTGTACATATCATGTGATAAAATCGGCAACTACAGCCAGTTAAATCAACCAATCGGATTGTGGTATGTGTGGCAATTGATTGGCTGATAACCATGGGCGTTGAAACTGGGCTTACGAGGTGTATATACAGTAAAACAGCGCGTGGCCAGGTGTTTTGATGTCTCAGACATGAGCACGGAAAAGCGTATGTCAGTGTCTGTGACCAATGCTGCCCGGAGGATTTGCCTACCAGTAGACGGAAGTGCGCATTCAAGCAAAGCCGTAGAGTGGTATTTGGCAGAGCTATACAAACCTGGAGACTTTATCATATTTGTGCATTCACTTGAGGCACCAAACCTACCAACGGTGACCGTTGGTGCTGGACTGTCTCTCCCGATTGATAGCTGGACAAAAGCCTTGCAAGAAAAGTGAGTGCGTTTTTTTTATGTTGGTTGACCAAACAAGAAGTGTTCAACAACAAACCCAGAAACAGTTAAAAGGCTTATTCTGAGTTCATATGTGTAATTTAACTTT